AACATAGCTCAGCCGATCACTGAGGCACACAAACCCACACACCACGGTAAGGTCCAGCCTCCTTGCGATGGATGGAGTAATGCAGCCTTTGCTTCGTCACACAATGCGATACCGACACCATATGAGGCGGCGGTTGCTGCATCCATGTCACCCATGCCATCAGACAGACGTATATGGTTCCAAGAGCAGTAAGGGACGACAACTGAACCACGGTGCTGAGATCCTGCAATCGAGTCTCTGAAAGGCATCAAACGTCGAGAGCGAGGGACTTTAAAGTGTGCGCCAGGCCAGCCTGTTGTCCAGTATGTAGGAAGATCTGAACATTGAACGCTGTCAGGCGGAATGACGAACGGGGTCGAATGATAGATGATGGCCAGACGATTTGGATATCAACAAAACGGGCATTGGAAGTAGATTCGATAGGTTGTGGATTATCAACAAAAGTTGGTGCGTGATGGAGAAGCACGAGTAGCATGGAAAGTAGTAGCAGAAGTGGTCGGCACATTAGTAATTGCGAAATCCATGGTTTATTAGATCAGCTTTTCCGTGTTACTGCTAAAATCAGAATGCGCTGTCCGCGTTGTTGCTAATCATTAAAATAAATGTGATACAACATTTTTCAAGTCACTTGATCTGGCAAATTTCCGGACCGGCGTACACCTTGATGTTTCTTACACAAACAAATTGGTTTGCTTCCGAGACAACAGTTTGCGCCACTGAGTAACTCAGGCCAATGTATCCTAGGGGCTTGTTATGTAGCTATGTTGCATCAACGACACGACCTTTCACGACTATGGGAAGGAATTGCTCGGCGGAAAATATCACGACTTCAAGAAAACGTTATTCCACAGAATTCTCGTTTCTCGCTGATGTAGGTTTGTCTATCCAATGCGATCATTAGAGAAGTTACATTAATTTTTGCTCTTACCTGTGCTACCCAATCGAAACGATCTATCTGCGAGCAGACAGATTATTTTCACCCCCTACTGAAGGAATATGGGTGCTGCGTTTGGAAAGTTGGAAAAGCGTGCGTGGAACAACCACCATCCTACTGTTGGAACGATGCTGCTGTCCGTTCTTCCATACGGTAGCGAAACGTGGACGATGTGCCGGAAATACGTCAGATATCTGGAACGATCTACTCAACAATGTCTGTAACGGATTCTGCGCATCGGCTGGTGCGACAGTATTGCGGACACGGAAGCGCTGCGCCGCAGTGGCATCTAAGAAGTGGACTGCATACGTTTGCTGCGGCACCTGGGGTGGCTGGGGCATATCAGCCGCATGGATTCGACGCGGATACCCAAGCAGCTCTTATATGGACAACTTAGTGCAGGGAAGCGGCACGTTGGAAAACCGAAGTTACGTTACCAGGAAATTATCAATGTGAGTTTATCACAAACTAATGTTGCTTACAGGTGTTGGGAATCAAAGGCAGCTGACCGGCCCGAATGGCGTGAGCTGATCAACAGGGCGGTTGCCCAGGTGCAGGAAAAGGCACGATTGCATACGGAGCAGAAACAGTGTGCAGCGGACTAGGGCCAAGCCACCGCATTGTGTACGTCTGGTACACATGATTTCCCATTTAGCCATAAATGCTTCCACTATGTTTGCTAAAGGAGTCTGAGCCACCTCCGTTGATGAAATATAGCTCCCATCCACTTGCCTCCCCGTCTTATTCTTTCGGGTTTACACTGGATATGGAGTGTGCGGACGGAGCTGTGGTTGGTGCAGCACAAGCCACCCATCCCTTTGTAGACGCAGGCGTCCTGTGGCTGCCTTATGGGGGCTGCACTGACAGGCAAATCCGGAACGGGATACCGCCACTTAGATATAAGGCTGGAAATACATCCATCATGGGTGCATAAAAGCACATTCTTAAAAAAGACAGCATACACTTTCGGCGGATGTCGTCCATCCATGTCCTTTTCGATCGGCTGACATGAGGTGCAACGATGGCAGCATCACGACTGAATCATCACCAGTGTATCGAATTTGCTTGACCATCCGTCTAGGTGCAGCCCGTTTGAAAACGTGGCTACCGACGAGTGCTAATCGACAGCAGCCAAAAATCAAATGCACTACGAACCTAGCAATCTACTGGCGCAGCGAGATTATGCGAGTTTTGGTCTCAGCAGTTGAGCATATAAATGCTCATTAGGTCATCCATTTTTCACAAACAACTGGCTGAATGTATGTTCGGGCTTAATTCCGACAGAACTGACGGTGGCGAGAGATCGTTGGATTCATGCACCGAGATTGAGCTTTCTAAGTTGTAACGCTTTCAGGCACAAGTAAGACCGATGTACAGCTTAGTGAAATAGCATTACATCTGTTCGAAAAGAATTTCAACCGCCTTGAAGCTGTCTATTTGTCAGATTTTCTTCCTTGAGGCCTTGGCTATATCATGGTTTATGTGGCTCACTTCCCCGTTTTGATACTAGATTTCAGAAACATCGGCAAACCTATTGGCATCCAACACTGTGCGATCAATCGGTTGGTCTCCTGCTATCTAGCAGCTACGTGGTTCCATTACGAAATTCAAAACGGTGGAAGGGTATAAATTTCGTTCCAGTCATATAAGTTACCAGCAAAAATCCCTTACTGACATCCAAAGAAGAAAATTCTATGCTTAGTCATCGGGTAGTATAGACATCGATCTACGTTCATTTCGCTAGGCCATAATTTCTTTCATATACTTCGGAGACGTTGATACTCTCACTGGCTGAATTCACCAACTGAGCCTATTGAAATCAGAAAATATGTTACCATTTTCTTGGCATACTACTTGCGATTTAATTCATTGTTTGAACGTTTGTTACAGTCCCATTTAGACGATGTAATGGCTAGTTGATCTATTCACGGACCTTTTTGAATCCGCTTATACCTTGTGTAATATAGTCATTCAGTGACACACGGTATATTGGCGAAAATGAAGCAACGGGAAAATATGGCAGAGCTCGTTACCATACTGCCCAACCAGCACCAGTACTAAGGATGCAATCCCACTAGTTGTGTTGCCTCGATATTCCAGTTAGACAACTGTTGGCGGACGTCATCCAATCAGCGGAGCTTGGTGCGGCCGTTTGGCTCGCATTAGATCGGCTGCCTCGTATGTCTCGCTAACATGATATTCAATCAAATTAAACCGGGTGTAGTTAATAAGGCATCAGTAAAAGGCCAACATATTGCCCCCATGCTTCGCTACCATGCGACTACCGTCGCTCGCGCATGGGCTGGGTATACCGCAGGGTCACCCTTACCTATGCGACTTGAAGCCGGTGACCTCCAGATTACATGGCAAAAGCGTACTCCTTTTGGCGACCGGCAGTTGGGAGGGCATTGAAGAGAACCAGGTGAACTAGACACGAGACGTTCTGCAGCGAGCGACGATGGGGTCACAACAATATAGCCACCGAAGACAACAAGGTGCGACAAAAGATACGCTGTGTGGAGGCGGACAGAATGAGAGAAAAGGGCACTAAGAGAATGTGATGGGAGTAGGGTATCAAAATGGAGTAGGCGTACCAGCGAGATCTACTAGGTAGCCGATCAGATGCGGACCGAACGACCTCGACAACTGGCCGTACCAAAACATTGGTTAGAAGACGGCTATCGACTGTTGTTTAACTGGAGTAAGGAGAGAACACCATTAGTATGACTGCATCGTTAGTAATGATTGGGCAATATAGATTAAGACCTCCTAGGAATGAGCTATGCTGCATATTTTCGTCCCATCTTTTACGATCTGACTCTCGGTGTACGATTCCGGTGGTACTGAACTCGTCCACTGCTAGATTCGAATTCAAGCCGAGAGCAGAAGCCAACATTTGGGGGCAAAAAGCGTGTTGTGGAAACGGCTACCGAAACGGATACAAGTAGTGTAAAATCAGGTATCAGCAGTACGCCGGTAGGCAGTACCGACGCTTCGCTTCTGCACAACTATCACCAATCACACGCTAAGGATACTGAAAGGTTCGCTCGGTCCCAACTCTGGCTCGAACCCGCGACCTCAAAAAACTGGACGGGTTAGCGATCCTTAAGGCCGGCAGTGTGAAATCAACTGACATTTAAAAACCCACTAAGGAAGATCCACATACCAGAACAGTTAGGTCCGCTGTACTGATTGGTAAGTTAGTTGTGCTAGTCAATGGCAAGGTTGATGCGCACGTCGTATGGACTCGAATGTTCCTGAAACGACTTGATATTTTGGTTGTCCCTTATTTGTTCAACTCGTTTGCCTATTGAATTAATGAATTTTCCTTGGAGAGTTTACTCTCCATGACATCACCCCTCTTGAGATCGCGGGAGCGGTGTAGGACAGTGTTCTCCGTCTGTCCATCCATCGTCTGGGTTGAAGTGCCTCTGGAGTTAGCTCTGAACAATCGGATGGATCGTTCGGTTGACTGTTACTGTCCATGTCTAATTTTCCCACTTGGTTTTCGCAAACAAGCTTTTTGTCATTGAAGATTATGGATTTTTGGCACGTTACGTTATAAAGAGCTACACAGCTGTGGTGCTCGACCTCCACGGCAAAACGACCTTGAAATAGAGAAAGTATAAGAGAATAGCCATGTGCGAAAAGCAGGTTGCGGAGAAACTGCCAATCATAAAAGAAACAGGCCAGAGTAGCTCTGACGTTAAGAAACGACCTGTTTTCTTTTTCGATTTTAAACCACGCCGTGTTTGAACTGCAACACGCAACTGAAATTATGGCGATGATTTATCTCAAAGCAAACTCCAGTCGTTCAGGTCGCTGGTACCTTATCTGATGTGAAGACGTTTTCGATGTCGCTCACCTCTAACACGAAATCCCACGACCGCTTCTGCACTTATTTGAATAACTCATCTAGAGATGGTCAAAACTCAGGGTGAAACCGGTGAGGCTTGTACCACCAAGGTATGAGTCCCCATCTCGCAGATGGTGAGGTGGGGTTCCTAATTCCAGTCCAAGCTTCGGCTGCGTCTACCTGAAGTGCTCAAGCAAAAACGAAATCGGTCATTGAACATTGAAAGGGATTTAGGTCATTGGATTTCTAAATAACGAAATAAAAACTGAATATAATTGTAGTTGTTTGGATTGATAGCTCTTGTGGGTGGCAAGAAAATACATAGGATACGACGCCGTGTAGAGAGGGAACAAAGAGATCTATGCACAGGGAACGAACATCAGGTCACTAAAGTGAGACTAAAGTATTTGGCTGAGATACCTGATATTGCTGGGGTCCAATTCGTTTCAGGGTGATAGTCAGACGCTGGTCGATGGAAACAGTCGGATTAGAGGCAAGATTCATTGAGGACCACAAAGCAGCTAGAGAACGAATAGGTGGATTAGGGCGAGAATTGCTCCGGTACGGCTTGCCTTCACATACAAACTCGGTAGGAGAGCAGGAGAGAATGGGTCGATCCAGCATCCGTGGGGTACACACTCGGGAAGATTCGGGCAAGAGTGGGGAAGGGAGGCACGTTGAAAGATCTGAAGAACGGGGCGGAGTAACTGGACGCAGTAAAGGAGGGGGCGGCGTACCTGGTACCAGACGTCTTCCACTGAAGTCGTGTTGTGGTGTAGGTGCAATCACATTCGGATCTATTGGGCCCATTCCGGTTGAAATACGTGAGTGGCACACTGGGGTGGTGAAGATGGATTTGATGTAGTCGTGATCAGAATGGATCTGACCAGAAGAGTCTGAATCATGATAATTCATTCGTCCTTCTTCGAGTTGGGGAGGGGAAGTATAAGAATCAAAGTCGGAAAGGTCAGTACATAGTGGGATGGTGGACACGGAACTGTTTGAACCCGATTCTTCGTAGTGATCATCATGAAACAAACCAAGGTCATCGTGTACGATATCTGAATCGTAAATGTATACTGGGGAGATTGGTGAGGGTGCAGATTCAAACTTCGCATTCTTAGAAACTGCTGATCGCAGTCGCCATCCGCGTTGCCTCATTGGGTTGTCTGAAATCATACGAAGTAAACGGGATGGAGTTTTGCGAAGATCGGTGGGAATGGGACAAGTATGTCGACGAATGCCGGTATGGTGCAGCTGTGTTTGAGTTTTTACACGCTTTGGATGATAGACTTCAAAATCCTCAGGGAGACGTTTATTTGCGCGACGTCGAGTGGAACCAGGTGGGACGAGATTGGTTTCTGCGATTAAACGAGCATCATAATGGGTCAGGCGTTTCGAGTCGACCTTTTGGGGCGTCGTATAAGCGGATGAGGAATCAGTCGCAGAGCGTGTTTCATCCATTAACCTCACCAATATGGGCTCTACGCTGCGAGTCGACGAAGAGAAAGATGTATGCGCTGAAAACGACAAAGAGAAAAGACTGTTACAGAGGTGAACAGTAGAAAGAAATCCCGAATACCTATAGTTGTGGGGAGTGTGAGCGAAGGTTGGTTGAATTAAATAAAGGGCTAATAATAGGCCCAATAGGACAGAATGAATTGAATTAGTGCAAGTTACTAACAGATGTGTCAGCAATACCGGTACCGACGCTTCGCGACCACACGATCACCAACAGTAGCTTGCCGGGGCTAGCGATACTGTCATTCACACCTATGAAGACTCGAACCGACGACCTGTGGAGTACACTCCAGAGGCCTGAATCACTTGACCATCGGCCGGCAAAAACGGAACATTTTAATGTAATACTGTCATCGATGAAAACACTTTAGACCACTAACAAGCAATATCTTTAAACAACAAATAACGAAAAGCGCCTAAAGTGAGCGGTATTCGAGCGGAATAATAAGAGTTTCAGAAGACACTGAAAAATGGAACGGTTTAGAAGCACAGCAGCCTAGCCAGTCTAGAGGGTGGCTGAAAACTATCATGCCATAACTAGGTGGATGCGATATCGTCCAGGTGGAACAAAGCGATCGGATAACTCAGTTCTAACTACTCAAACTGAATGTGAGACAATGAAACCCATATTAGCACGAAAGCAATCACAACTGGAAATGTGAAGTTTGTGGGTGTATTCATCCGCGCCCGTATGAGAAATAAACGGCAGATATACCCATCGGGTAACTGGCTACAATTGTCTCACTTAACTCTAAAGGTGTGCTCAGAAAAGTAAGTCCAAGTCGGTACTATTACTAACATTATACAATACCTGATCAAAATACAGTTATCAGTGCCAAAACACATCTAACAACATCAACAAAAGGGGTAGACAGTGGAAAGGTTTGGAAGCTTTACAAGGTTAATGTTCTCTGCGGGCAGATCTTCCCGGTTGCCCATGTCCGTATTAACAGTTCACAGATCAGTTTCACCAGAGTACAATCAGTCTACACTCTTGTTAATAAGGAAGATGAAATAATACGAAACTAATCCTAGGCTCATCATATACACGTTATCAAGAGGTGTAAAACACAGCTACTGTGTCGCAATACATAAAGGAAAAAACATGCAACAGATGCATGCCAACGGAGCTAGGAGTAACGAAAGGTCATCGTCACGGAAAGCCACCAGCCGGCTACTAGGCAACAAGAAAAATTATTATGTAAAATTACATTATGCTACGAAATGAGATCGTGATTGGATGAGGAGGCTAAAAGGGATGAAAAGCGACAAAGAAACTCACAGCAGGAACGCCACTAAGGTCGGCTCCTTGCCACGTCAGCAAGTGTATCTAACCAAAGGTGTTCATCGTCCTTTGGTCCCTAACCAGGGAGCTGTGAAGCTCCAACCGAGGCCAGCTCCGAAGTGAGGGCCTTCATTCCTCTGGACAAAGTCATCGCTTGGCAACCCCTCCACTTCTTCCATCCACACCCCCGGCGCGCAAACAACGCACGTCGCGGGAGTCGGCGGGCTGGCATGCGTAACACGTGGCCGAGCCATCGGAGCCTGGTGCGTGAAATGATGGTGTCGAACGGTTTAGTTCCTTTTTCTGTGCCACAAATAACGGGTCGAACACGCTCGTTGCTCACGCGGTGTTCCCACCAGATGTGAACCAAAATGCGAAGGCACCGATGGTCGAATGTAACTAGCCTCTTTATGTCTGCTGATCTAAGGGACCAGGTTTCGCAACCCTATAGTAAGGTCAAACATACCGCTGTATTGTACACCTTACCCTTCAGGGTGAGAGTGATGTCGCGCCGCCGCCATAGGTGGCGAAGGCTAACAAAAGCACTTCGAGCTTTTGCTACACGCTTCGTGATCTCATCTTCAATCCCAAGGGCGCTGATACAACTTCCCAGGTAGTTGAATTTTTGAACGACTTCTAGCTGATCCCCACCAAGGGTCAGCGCAGGAGACCATCCCTGCCAATCTTGGAGGAACGTTTTGCACTTCGATGGTGCAAAACAAAGCCCGAAGCGGCTGACAGCCAATGCTAATCTGTACAGTGCGGATTGGCAAGTCTGGGAGCTGTCACAGATGAGGGCAATGTTGTCTGCATACTCCAAGTCAAGAAGTCGTTCTCCTGGGAGTAGCTCCACACCTTCTAAGTCATGTCCTGTAAATGCAATCTCCATGACTTCGTCAATAGCGAAGCTGAAGAGGAAAGGTGACAGCGGGCATCCTTGTCTCACAGCGCTGGAGATATTGAAGGCCGGCGACAGCTTGCCGTGCTACGCGCCTATAATATTTACATATTTCTCTGGCACACCTTTCCTGAGTAGACAGTCCCAAAGGGCACTTCGATCAACCGAATAGAAGGCATCTTTGATGTCGAGGAACACGACTACAGTGAGCAGCCAATATGTGTGACGGTGCTCCAACAAATGACGCAAGGTGAAGATGTGATCGATGCAGCCACGACCCCGAAGAAACCCGGCTTGCTCCTCATGAATCTGGCTTTCACGAGCGCCAGTCAGTCTGTGAAGGATTACAGAGGCAAGTAATTTGGAGGCGATGGGGATCAGACTGATTCCTCTATGGTTGCTGCACTCCGAACGCGAGCCTGTTTTAAAGATGGGAACAATAACGGAGCAGCTTCAGTCGGTTGGGACAATTTCCTGCTCCCAGCTTAATTAGCAACTTCTGTAAATCATCAACAAGAGCAGGGCCCAAATTTGAAGAAGGCTGGATGAAGATCATCTGGTCTCGCGGCTTTATTTAACTTCAACAGTCCGATCTCACGTTTGATTTCTGAGCGAGAGGGCGGATCCAAAGGGACAGTTCACGGAGCAGGGCGGTCACTGGCCGGCAAAGAATCGAACGATTCTGGCCGATTAAATTGCTTTTCAAACACTTCAGCCTAACGCTCTAAAGGTTTTGACAAATTGTGGATAGACTATCTACTCTCGTTACAAATTGTTTCACTAACACCAGGTCTCCTGCTGCCCGTTTCCCGTATCGGACGGAATAAGTTTCGATGGTTACTAAGAGCAGCGGCTACTTCCAGCTCTGACGTACGAATACACCACCAAGATTCGCGGTCTCTCTTCAGACTAGCACGGAGTTTTACCCGGAGCTGTTTGCGAGTTTCATTGTGCTCGATTCCAGCCGGAATATGCCGGCGAGCATCGATCGGTTCCAGAGACCACGAAGAGATCCAATGTTCATGTTGCCTATTAAACTTACCACATGAGGATTTGCCTGTTGCTAGTAATGTCTCGTGAACATGCGACCAGTGACCTTCAATTGTCCCCAGTGAGCGCTTACTCACCTCGCATGTCAGCGTACTTTGATAAGCATCCTGATTAACTAGCTTCGTCAGTTGGCTAGTGTCAATGCGCTCACAGCGTCGTCGTGGGCGTCCGCCAAAACACATCCGCATGTCAGCACATACAAGTGCATGATCGGTGTCCACTCATGTGCTCCAAATCAAGCGACAGTTCTGGATACAGCCTCTCCAGCGGTAACTGATTGCAATGTGATCGATTTGCGTCCAAGGCTGGTGGGCGCCAAGTCACCCTCCGGCAGGTGCTGTGTCTGAAGTTAGTGCTCACAAGAAATAAGCGGGCATCTTCACACAAATGAAGTAACCGCTCACCGTTATCGTTACAGGAGCCTACATCGTGCTGACTGCCCAGATGCAGTTCATCAGTGGACAACTTTCCAACTTGTGCGTTCAGATCCCCCGCCAGCACAACAGTGTCCGTGCTTCTTCTATGGCGAAGGAGCTGGGTCAGTCGGCAGTAGAAGTCGTTCTTTACCGAATCATCACTACAGCTTGTGGGCGCGTAGGCAGCGATGATGAATAGACACCTAGTAGTCCCACGCGACTTCGAAGCCTTGAATGAGTCAGCCAATCGAGCCGCACACATTCCACTGCTGATTGGAATCCAATCAACCAGAGCAGCTTCCGCCCGAGGACTCAGGGCAATGCCAACACCAGCTTAGCCGTTGCTCGAAGCTGCATCGTCACCGGATAGGCGCAATGAGAAAATGCTGCTAGTGCCACCTGAAGGGGATCGCAGAGTGAGCACAGAGCTAGAGTCTTGCAGGCGGGTCTCCGATAAGCAGCAGATATCGATTGAGAGGGTCTCTACTGTTCGGGCAAGTGCTACCTGTTGACCGATCTGAAGCAATGTGCGTACATTGAGGCATGCCAATCTGAAGGAGGATCGTGGGCTCCAAATGGAAGCCGATGAACTGGAATGGACCGCGCTTGGTTGGACACAGGCTTGTCGTCAGGACAGGAGGGACGCTCCGCGTTTGCATGTTGGTTAAATCTAGAAGATAAACACGTAGCAAAGCATGTTGGGGGAGGGCCAAGAATCGGGGGTTGAAAACTCGGGGGATAAAAGTGAAGTTGGAACGGGACAATAAGGGAGTAAAAGCGTAAGAGGGGGAATAAGAAGCAGTAGCAGCTAAATCCTTATCCACGCTGCTCGATGCAGCAGTCAAAAAAGAGCAACGTGACGAACGTACAACGTAGCCGGCATTGCATCTGACGGCGGCATGTCACGCATGTACCCGGGTGTAAACGCAGAACAAAAATAGCAATTCGTGCAGGCAAATCGCGTGGTGAACATAAACCTCTGGGGATAACCCGTTAAGAGGAAAGCGCAAATATTGTGTACTGATATAAGGCTCACCTGAAGCACGAGATTGGTTGTGGGAAACTGCCGCATTACCGTGATCAGGTGTATGTTCAGCACGGACAACCACAAGCTTGGGCATGGGACTAAGATGAAAATGCGGATCCTGCGATTGTGGCCTGTGATAAGAGAGTTCATGTGTATCCGGTGTATTCGCCGCGGTAGACAACTGACTAGGCATGCTGACAGAGTCGACCGATGAGACGCGATCCAAGTGGGGAGGTGTCGGGCTGCTTGAACCGCTGCTGCAACTGGGACCAAGACCACTGCTGATGGTCTCGGATTCAAACGCATTCAAAACCTCCGATTGTAGCTGAGAAAATGTGTGACCGATAAGTTTCTGGGAAGTGCAAAACGGCCTCATTGTTTCGAAATTATTCGAGTGATAATCAATATCTTCCGGAGCAGATAAATCGGGGACCGTGTCTGCAAGATAAGCACCAGGTGTGCGAACCGGGTGCTTCTTCATAAGTGTAGAAGGGACATCTGCTCTGTCCAATGAGGAATTGCTTGTATAAATGCGCCTGAGCGGTGCCACATTCGTTCCTAGATTTTCTTTTTCCCGAGTCGCAACCAAAGCAGAGGCCCTAATGCATGCTTTCACGCGAGCCATACGAGAACCGGTGTGGCGAAACGAGTAGGCCGATGATAACGAGCGACGGGCTAAGCCAGTAGAGGATCCTTTGCGCAGCGACCCGTTTGATGAGTGAAATGCTGAATTCATAGCTGTATAAAGATAGAATTCATGAAACGATAAACGAAATTCACAACAACCGGTGAGGGAAACATAGTCAAACAACAGTGGTGAAGGCCAAGACCATGACGGTAGATGGAAACAACAGTAAACAAGCAGTGCAGCGGAAAGAATCTCGGGAAGTTGGGATGGGCAGTCAGCTTCCCACACTAATGTATCCAAATCAGATCATTTAAATTCATACGTTCCGTTCATCGGCTATGATCTAATTACTTTCGTGTCGCTGTTGTGACAAAATCAAAGACGTAGAGAGTGAAAATATATACCGAAAAATACGCAAAATGGAATGGAAAATCATGTACTTAGAGATCAAACGGGAAGTTACCACTGACTTTGCGATAGAGTGTGAACGTCCCTAACGTGTACGCGGAGAATTGTTCGTGTCTGGTGGGAGAATCAAGTGAGCACTACAGGAATCCACCAGCTGATGTCTGGAGACAGAGCACTTGGTGGGGCGACGAGCTGTCTTCTTCTGTGATTATCTTACGCAATGCATGCCTCTGCACTTCTGCATTAAAATTATTTATTACTATGATAACAAATAGATTAACAGCATTTTGGTGATCGAAGCACTGCTGAACAACAGAAGTGTAATGAGGGCTGGAAATGCTGGTGATTGAAAATGCTGTAATGCCGATCGGACGTCACAGGCCAGACCGATAGGGAGTGAGCATGTTGCCGGAAGCAGATTGGTCAGCCAATCGGGAAATAGTTGGCCCATGATCGCGTCCAGTCTGCAACCATTCACTGAACGTGCAAGTGGCCAATCGGGCGCCAGCAGGCGAAGGAGCGCATACTCGTCCACCCTTGAGCCAAGGCTTCTGGTACTGGACCGAGGGAAGAAACGCGCGGGCTCAATCCGACCAATCGTACATTCACGAAGAAAGTCAAGATGATTTTAGACAGAGTGAACGTGGCTAGCAGGCATAAACCAATGGAAAAGGAGCCAGCGACACAATGCAAACAACAGGGATGAGACATTGAAACGGACTATGGTAAATAGTGTATATACTTTATAAATATTCGAGCATAATTTTAATAAAGGACTTCATGATCGCAGTTCAGTTTTCTTGCTTCCCGGAGGGCAACTCGACAAGAAGCTGATTCGAAAGACCTTATCCAGGAAGGTAACTACACCGGCCTGATGCTGTTTTCAATCAGACTTTTATAACAGTAATGTGATCGATTAACAAGCATGGTGTTTCACTCAACCGGACCACGGTAGAAAACTAAGGATATACAAGGCAAGTGAGCGACATGTTTGTACAGAAGGAACTCATCCAATCTAGGCGGTGTACCTTCGATGGAAAAAACTGCGGTAGAAGAGACCGTTGCCAAAACTGACAAACAGACCTCAACACTGAACATTCGATGGTCTAATCACATAAGAGCAACGCTTCTCAGGCACGAGTTCAATTAATCAACCGGGATTCAGCGAATAAAGCGCAGTGAATAAGGTTGTCATATCTCGTGCTACTATGATCAACCGCACATGTATATCAAACGAAAAAAACAAGCAAATTTGCAGACAAATCCAACAGTCAGGGAGACGAGAAAACTGGCAAATGAAAATCGAACAGCAAGAAAACGGTACTGACTTCCTGACTTAGCCTTGTCGATAACCATCCATCTGCTTAAGTGGCAGGTCCATGTCTCACTCCGCGATCAAGCGTCACGGTCAAATTCGCTATACCTTAATGCTTTGACGTTGTTATCAGCATCGTGTTACATACAAATAGGTAAATGTATGCGGGAGTAGCCAGTCAAGAGATGCGTGAAAAGTAAGCCGGATCAGTGTAAACTGTGCAAATTTAATAGAAGTTTTACTTCAGTATGAGTGGAGTCGCTATTACACATCACTCACACGGTCGTCCAAATGGATGCGCCTAAGAATTCGCAGGCTCCAGGAAACAAAAATGAATAATCACTTCAGAAGAACGCAGTGGGCATTCCTCTGAAATCTAGAATAGCAGGCGCACTGTAATTCTGGATGCATACGTCGAAAACACTCTAAATCGATGAAGGATCCCGTATTAAAAACAACGCAGACCTTAACAGTCTAGGCAACATGCGTTTCGCAGCTATGTTCGTAAGGGGTGACATAAACATCCTGATAAGCACACCGATCGACTAGCTTCATAGATTGCAAGATGGCAGGTGAGTGTGTAAAAGCACATTGCATTGTCAAAAGGTGCAAAAAGGCGCACAAGATGCTGAGAGAAATATTTCAGTCATCCGGTAACTTGAGAAATGTAGCCGAAACATCGAACCAACTATTGGATTAACAGTTTGAGGTCGGTGGTTACAAAGCTGATGGTATCTATCCACTATGGAACTGGAGTCCCGGATTTAGGAGAGATCAACTATGTCATTGATCGAAGAAGAGTTGCGCTCTGCAGCAGGTTCTAAATGTGCGGAAAGCAGTTGTGCTACTCAATTTCGATACCACATTCCACTGTCGGTAGACTCGTTATGTTCAAAATATCTACACAGAAAAAGGTTTCTTAAAATTATGTGAATATTTAAGGTTCAAAGTAACTAAACACTTAAAATAGTGTCAGACTGCATGAAGAAGTATCGAAAGCCATCCGGACAACCAACAGTGACCGTTATTGTACTCGCAACGCTTCTATTTGTGGTCTCACAAGTACCGAAGGAGAAATAGTGACTCAAATTGTTGACATTTCATTATTTTGAACCAGTAAGTCAAACTAACAAACTTGTTGGATTGGATCCCATTCTTTGTAACCGCCATCCACTTCCAAAGTGCAAAGTATCATTGTACGAACTGAAAGCAGTCGATAAATTCACATATCTTTCCATTTCAAGTGTAGAGTGTCTGACTAGATGAATTAGTTGGTGCGCTGTATAGGTGAGGAACAGCTTCATGAAAGTGTGAGAATCATGGTGACAGAGGAAAAGTTCACCACGTTTTGAAGATTGTATATAAAGGAATATATGTGAGGACCCTTTTTTTCGTATGCTGCGCAGCTGAGCATCACTGCCCGAAGTGCAGTGCTAGTGTCAGCAGACCTCAACGTATCCGCAACGATGAGGTGCGCGGACGAGTAGCAGGCGGCGATGATCATGCCACGTTGTTATGACGACAAATCATAATGAGCGTTGTTAAATCAAAAACCACTAGTGCCATTTCGTCTATCTTCTAGAACAGCGTTATCTTGTTTCCTCCATGACAGTCGTTACCTGGCAGTGTAAGTGTCCATCGCCCAACGATCCAGGTTGATAGTTGGAATGACGATGACTCCTTATTCCATACAACAGACTCTGTATCCCACTGCCAAACCCTTTGAATTACGGCGCCTTGTGAAAAGATGGAACAGCCTACAAATCAAGTGACCGATGCGCAAACGGTGTGTAGAGGTTTGATTCGAATACTAATGAATACGCTATGTCAGATTTCATCATGGTTCCCTTGATACATGCTGCATGTGAATAGAGCCATTCAAAGAACTTTTTCAGGAACGATTAACCTCCGTGAACCACAGAGCCATCGATGCTTACAGAGAAGAAGTCACGCGTGAAGCGCAGTTTGGCGGTGCGCAACACTGCAGTTTATTTAAAGCAAACAACTGGTTCGAACATTGAGGCACTACTGAGGTGGTTTCAACGTTGCCGAGGTAACGACAAAAACAACAATGTGAAAAGTAAAGTAAAATGCTGAGTAGATTGGAAGGAAAATTGATAGGAATTAAATAGAACACACCCGCTGGAATCATAACAGCTGGGTTTAAGAGATCGAATGCTGTGGACTTGGCAACTGCATCGGGTAACATAGTATCTGCGGCGAATAAGTTGGGCTATCGCTAAACCATTCAGCGGTAGCAGGAGACACGATCGAATTTTCCTTACCATTTTGGTGTCTCATCCGCTGGCAGCCCTGAGGTTTCATCCACTTAGGCGAAGCGTCGGTAAATACTGTGTGCCAAGGTAAACGGGTGTGTAGGGAACACTGAAGCATCGAGATGGTGAAGGTTTAACAGATACTGTAGTAGGACACTAGAGGCTCCCTAGCCAAACGCCGACAGGGAGCTTCATTGCTAGTAGAGTATTCGCCGTGGGTACGGATTACGACATGCAGTCTAAATTAAGAGCAGGATTGACTCTGACAATCGATGCCATTCCGAAGTGGACGGTTTCGGTATTGCTCTCACTCTCTCATCATTGAAAGAGAGCAACACCGAAATTCATTAACAGGGGCCTCTGTATCATTCACCTGATGCTCCCACCAGATATGGGCAATCTCCCAGAAGCAGTGGCCAGAAAGTTGTGAAGCGACCTTTTTGCTAACCTACACATTAACACAGACAGTACAGCATCCCTATACACCCGGTCCATGGTAGAAAGATTGATATCCCACCGTTTCTACAGTTATTTAGTACTCTGAAAGGCGAGTAGATAACAACGGACAATGTGTGAAGCAAAAGACGCTTTTGTATGTGACATAGGTAGAGAAAGTTTAAAAAATTAATCGCTAGTGAGATTTTGAGAAGTGAACCAGTATTGGTTCAAGTTGTAGTCGTGACGTTCTGTTAAGATGAGCAGAAACTACATATGTAAGTCCACGGAAATACAAAGTCACTGTGTGCGAACTAAAGGTTACAGAATGGGATTATAACCAAAAGTCTCAAGGAGATCCTACCTTTCGCAGTTGTAGATGCGTCAGCAGAGCATAGCGATCGGTCACCAACGTTTCCATCTAAGCCGGATTTCAATGAAGCACTTTCGTTGAGGGGCTGCTCTTGTGCGTGATTACTGGGAGTGGTGTTCGCTCCACGCGTGAGCTTATCATTTGAAGAACGGTCTCCGCTTGCCGACTGCGTCTGATCCCAGACAAATCTGCTGAAGAAGCCGTGACCTAATAGTTCGCAGGTGAAGCACTCACAAGCACTGTTGTTTAAGTCGAAGAAGTGCTTTCCGTAATAGATGAAAATTTCGTCGCCCTTATGGATGTCCGTTTTGGCCTCCAGACTCATACGGGCATCCACATCACAATTTATTGTGAACTACAATTTAAAAAATTCCAAGAAATAGAAAATATGCATCAGTGCCTCATAAGCAGTAGAAATTGCAGGATAAAAAAACGCAGCCAGAGTTTCATGCCGCTTCATTTAACGTTTGTCACCTGTCTTTATGACATGTCTTAGTTAACTCCCACACGGAAAGGAATAGGATGTGTCACACGCCAAGTCAGGTTGCCTGGGTAGACAGTGTTGCAATCCGCAGGAGAAGCTGAGAAAAAACGGAGCAGATTTATTCAGTGACAGTGTAGACAATTTTAGGGAAAAGCAAGACACAGTAAAGGATACACATTTATTACATTAGCTTTAACCGAGGTGAACGTAACTTTATTATTGTCAATTATTTGATCTCGTTGTCTAGTTGGGTCTATTATGCAAGCCAGCCTATCACCCTCACCATCCAGCGTTAGTTGCGCTCACCGGAAGTCACCGGGGAAGGTACCGCGGTGGATAACCAATGACGTGAGAAAGAAGCATGAAGAAGGCAACCTTAAGCTTAGCATTAGTCCACCTTCCAGGATAGGGACCAATCGAATCGGACTGCCAGTAGTTAAAAACGCAGCACATTAGGGCGCGCAAAAGACATCAGCGGCAGCGGTGTTGTCCAACCGAACTATCCTATAGTATATATCCAATCAAATATAAAATCTCCAAAACACAAGAAAACTCAAAACGGCATCTGTAAAACCCGAAAAATCGTTTTATCTCATGTTGTATTTCAGTTCCCGCCTTTTTTCGCCATGGTTCGGATAGCACATTCGCTGTAATTATATATATATATATATATATATATATACATATATATATATATATATTGAATACTGTATTACAGAGCTAGTAGAAATGAATTCTTTACAGCTCTTTCGACATATGGTGAAAAAAGTTAGAAAAATTGTCAGCCGTGAATATTGTTATCGTTCTCATGTAGCATTTAAAATATCTGACTCAAGGTATTGCAGGACTCATAAATTTGGGATGTCATCGCGAGTGTTCAATCGATCTCTGAATCGAATAATGGTAAAATATAAATCAAACGACATTTTGAACTGCTGCATAGATTTTGTCTCTATCACATCTAAAGGCAAATTGTTCCAAATATTTACCACTCTCCGTTCGAAGCAGCGGGTGGGGAACTCGCTTCACATCCGGGACGACAAGTTTGTACCTGTCCGCGTGTGCTGCATGGCCCTCGTAAGTGCAACATTGGCCTCAGCATGGGGAAGTCACTGAGAGGTAGAATACGGTAGGTCATAATGGGTCAACTCGAACCCGAAGGTAGGACAAGGCGTAGAGTCCTAGTTTCTCGTACCGGTCTTCATAACACAAGCCACGTAAACTCGAGATGAGCCTGGTAGCAACGTGTTGGACCTGTTCGATCTTTTGTGCCTCGCTTCGGGTAATCGGAAAGTAGGCGGGCGAATCGTACTCTAGCACTGGTCTAATGATGGAAGAGAAGAGGCGAGTGTCAACCTTGCAGACCATGTGCCGAAGCAACGTTTGAGCGCCCAAAGCATGCGCAGTCCGTTACGAAATAGCCTGTTTGTGTCGTCCACGGACTTTAAATCGTAGCGCGAGAGTACATCTAGGTTCTTTACGGAGGGTGTGGGACTTAGCGGTTGGGCGTCAAAGGTGTAGGTTCGGCCGTCAGCGCCCTTCCCTGCAGCAGATGCACGTTAGTTGAGCCATCAGTAACTGATGGGTATCGTCCCAGAAAGCCACCAGCCTGCTATTGTGCCGCAAAAAAGTTATATTATGTCTAGGAAATGAGATCGTGGTTGGTGACGGAGGCTAAGAGAGAGGAGGGACAAAGAAACTCAGAACACTAACGCCACTGAGCTCCATCCCTAGTCATGTCAACCCTTGTATCCAACCAAACGTGTTCATCGACTTCCGGACTCCAAGCAAGGAACCGAGACTCCAACCGATGCCAGCCTCGAACTAAGGTCCCTCATTCCTCTTGACCAAGTAATCGCTTAACCACCCATACTCCCCATCCATCCACACATCCGGGGAGCAAAATAGCAAGCATGTCGCAGGATTCCGTGGGCTAGAATGTGCGATGCATGGCCCAACCATCGGAGCCTGGTGCGTTATATAAAGGTGCTGAGCGGTTCACTTCATCTTCCTATGCCATAAAGGCGTCGAACAAGCTCATTACTCACACGATATTCCCACCAGGCATAAACCAAACTGCGAAGGCTCCGGTGGTTAAACGTAACTGGCACTCTTATGTCGGCACATCTAATGGGCCAGATTTTACAACCGTACAGTATAGTCGAACATAGAGCTCCATTGTCAACTCTAACTTTCAAGGAGAAAGCGATGCCGCACCAGCACTATAGGTGACGATGGCTAGCAAAGAGCTCCGAGCACTTGCAAGACGCTTTGTGACCACGTCTACGATTCCACCGGGGCTGACACAACTGTCCAGTTGGTTGAAATTTTGAACGACTTCTAAACGATCCCCACTATGGTTCAGCGCAGGAAGGAGTCGCTGCTAATCTTCGAGAAAAGCTTTACACTTCGAGGGTGCAAAGCCAAGTCCGAAACGACTGACTGCCAGTGCTAATCTGTCCAGTGCCGCTTGACACCTTCGTGAGCTGTCACAGATGAGGGCAATATCGTCAGCACACTCTAAGTCAAAAAGTCGTTCACCTGGGATCAGCTCCCCATCTGAATCGTGTCCTGTGAACGCGATCTCCATAACTATGCCGAAAGCTAGGTCGAAGAAGAAAGATATCGCTGGCACCCTTGTCTTACACCGCCGGAGATATTGAATCCCGGTGACAGCTTACCGTAAGCCTTCACTCTGTCTAAGCTACGCCCATTAAGCGTTCGGATAGTATTTACTTATTTCTCAAGCACACATTCTCTTAGTAAACAGTCCCAAAGGGCACATCGATCCACGGAATCAAAGGCACCCTTGATGTCGAGGAACACGACAATGGTGGGCCGCTAATATATGTGACACTGCTCCACCAACTGACGCAAACTGGTGTTGTGATCATTGCAGCCTCGGCCACGACGAAACCCAGCTTGCTTCTCATGAATCTGGGTTTCACGAGTTCCAGTCAGTCTGTGAAGGATGATAGAAGCAAGGAATTTGGAGGCGATGGAGATCATACTGATTCCTGTATGGTTGCCACATTCTGAACTTATCACTTGAAAATGTGGGCAATAACGGAGCGGCTCCAGTCGGTTGGACAGTTTCTTGCTCCCAGCTTAGTTAGCAATTCTTGTAGATCATCAACGAGAGCAGGAACCTCGAGTTTAAAGAGTGCTGAATGAAGGTCATCTGGTCCCGCGGCTTTATTCAACTCCGGTTGTCCGATCTCACGTTCGACTTCTAAGCGAGATCCAAAAGGACAGCACATGTATCAAAGTGATCACTGGCTGGTGAGGAATCTAATAATTCCGGCCGATTAAACTGCTTTCCAAATTGTTCAACCCAATGCTCCAAGCGTTTTAACAAGTTGTGGATAGACTGTACACTCCTGTCACAAATAGTTTAACTAACACGAAGTTTCCAGCTGTCCGTTTCCGTATCAAAGAGAGTAACTTCCGATGGTTACCAAGAGCAGCGGCACTTTCACCTCAGACGCACGATGTGACCACCAGGAATCGCGACCTCTCTTCAGATAAGCACGGAGTTTTGCCCTGAGGTCTTTGCGAGTCTCGTTGTGTTCGCTTCAAGTTAGAATGTGCCGGCGAGCATCGATAGGCTCCATAGACTGCGAAGAGACCCAATGTCCATGTTGGCCATTAGATGTATACTATGGGGATTTGTCTGCAACTAACAAGATCTGTTGAACTGACTGTATTCAGTGTGCGCTCACTTAATCCGAATGCCAGCGTATTTCGATCCTCACGCAGAACATCCGGCTTCGCCAGTCTGCTGATTTTAATGTACTGATAGCATCGTCGGGGGCGTCCGCCGTAACGCACCTGCAGATCAGCACATACAAGTGTAAGGTCAGTGTCCACACATGTGCAGCGGAAGATGATGTCACGAACCGTATACCTACACCTACAGCACTTTGTGTAATCCTCGGCTTTGAAGGCGCCGCCGCAACGTCACTCTCGCTCTCTGGGATAGAGTCTACAATGCAGCTGCGTGTTCAGCTCTACTGTGAGGTTACGAAACCTGGTCTATTACATCGGCAGATGTAAGGAGGATGGTTTCGAGCATCAGCGTCCTTCACTTTGGCTCATATCTGGTGAGGACACCGCGATAACAGTGAATGTGTTGGTCACTTTCATTTTTGCAGGGGAACAACAAGTGAACCACGCTCCGATAGTTGGACCATGTTTTAGACATACTAGTAGACTGAATTCTGTTATGTTTGCGCTTCCGAGGTCTGAATTAGTGAGGAGGAGAGGAAGTTAAGCGATTACGTGGTCAAGACGAATGTAGGTTCTCACTTCGAACTTGGCCTCGTTTGAAGCATCTCCACTCCCGGTTTGGTGTCCGAAAGACAATGAACACGTTTGGTTGGACACACTTGTTGATATGGGTCGATTTCTATGGTGTCTCTCCCGATTAGGCTCTTACTATAGGCGTGATCTTCGCACAATGAAAGATAAAGCGCATCATCTTTGGTTTGTTTTTGCATTTTCGTTCTTTTTGGTGCCATCTAATTTTAGCCTTTTATAGCGTAACAGCTGAGATATTTTCACTTCGATGATGTTAATGGTGACAGTTGTTCAAGAGAACCTAACGGTGTAGCCCGCTGAGCTAAGCTGTATATATCACGATCCCATTGACGAACGGCTGCTTGCGATATACGAGACATACAGAAATCGCTTTTGACTAGGCGTTCCTGCTTAACTAGGGGTGTTGGTGTGATACAGTGGGATGAAGAATATTAGTTAAAACAGTGCATTACTCGGGATTGTTGCAGTTTATCCTACGCACAAAATGAAGAAGGGCTCACGTTAGTTAAGTCACAGCTGATTAAGGTGGCTAACTATTTGAACTACAGACT